ATTCTATTTGCAATAAAAAAATCAAATATACAATTGATGGATTTAAGAATGAAAGTTGAAGTAGAGAAAGCTAGAGGAAATGGAATTTCAAAGAAAAACGGTTTTAGAGTAAAAGAGGAAATGTAGTATTTTGGGAATTTCACCTCGTGAGGCTTAAAAAATGTGAAGGTGTAGATTTTATCTGCAACAAAACTACAAAAAAAAAAAAACAAATATAAAATTGGTGGTTTTGGGGTGAAAGTTGAAGGAGAGAAAAGTAAGAGTAAATGGAATTTCGAAGAAAAACGGTTTTAGAGTAAAAGAGGAAATGTAGTAGTTTTGGGAATTTCACCTCGTTAGGCTTAGAAATGTGAAGGTGTAGATTTCATTTGCAACAAAACTTTAAAAAAAGAAAATTTAAAGGAAAACTGGTTTTAGAGTAAAAGAGGAAATGTAATAGTTTTGGGGATTAGAAACATGTTAGGATGAATGTTTACTGTAGTAGTTGAACTACATGCTTAAAAGGGTAGGTTGAGGGAGAAAAATTTTGCTGCCCAATTTGGACATGATTCCTTCCCAACATGTAGTGTGATGCTTATTTTCCTCTTTGGTTAAGGCTCGGTTTGGAACGAGTACAAATACAAATATATAGAGTGTAAAATATTGTATTTTGTATTATGTTGTGTATATTTGTATTTGTACTCCTCCCAAACCAGGTACAAATATATATATATATATATATATATATATATATATATGTGTGTATAATGCAAATAAACACAAAATACAAGGTTTTGTATTCTACATATTTATTTGTGTACTCTTTCCCTACTGAGCCTTGGTAAGAGTGTAAATGCAAATATGTACAATATAAATACAAGGTTCAAGGTTTTGTACTATTCATAGTTGTATTCTCACTCTTCTCGAGCATATAGGACAAGTGGAGTGGATCCCTTTGATTGATTTCCTCAAACACTGCTTAATAAGGAGGACCTAACAAACAATTCTTCGACAAAGGAAAAGTAATCATTTAGGAGTTAAAGTAGTTGATGGGAGCATTTGAAGTACAAGTAGCATCAGTTAAGAGGAATTGACACTAGGAGTGGATTCAAGCTAAGCTGAGTGGAATAGCCGGCTCGAACTCGACTTGAGAAAAATATTTTATAAACATAAAAAACTATATATAAAGATATTTTTTATTTGGTATTTAAAATTTTAAGAATTACAATAATTAGTTATTATTATGTATAAAAGTGAAAATATTATATCTATAATACTTTATTATATATATTGTTTTCTATAATAATAATAATAATTGTATATTATTATTATTTTTAGGATAAATTCCGCCTTGCAATATTTTTTAATCCCATACTACACATGTAATAACTTATTCAAAGGAAAATACTGTTCATCTTCCCCACCTCACACACGAACAATACGGCGGCGGACTTGCGAAGTCCTCCCTCTCTCTCTCCCCCGATCTCTCTTGTTCCCCTTCCCCTTTCTCCCCTCTCCTTTCTTATTCTCGATTTCCTCTGTTTCCGTTCCTTGTAGATGGAGCGAGAGAGAGATTAATGTTTTCCGTTACTCTCCAACATCTTCTTTCTACTCTTGGGTGAATTTCGTCCAAAACCTCTTCTTTGATAGAGACAATGGTTGCAGAGGCTGTGTTGCTCCCCCGGGTCCATTGGACCGGTACACATTGAGGTCCTCGCTTGACGATTCCGAATGGGTAGGCGGGGTTCTATATCAATCCCCTTTGTTCACGCTAACCAAAGCAATTATAATGCGATTGTCGTGCAGCCTCCCTTGATTTCCTCGGCTTGTTCAGTTCTTCTCCTTGAATGCCCCAATCCAATTTTCCATCAGGGGAGCCCCAATCAGAAAGTGTAGAAGATGTTATAGTAGCATAAGTAGCAATAGAAGGAAAACTAGAGAGGCGATTCACTCGACTGGGAACGTTGATGTTAATAGGGCCTGTGGGTCGGACGGAGCAACCACCCTCCACTGTGCTGCTGAAGGCGGACCTGCTTCCTTTACTGGGAATGCCAAGCTTTTGCTTGATACTTCGGTTGACGCTAACTCTGTTGATGCTAATGGTAATCGACCTGGGGACTTGGTTCCGCCAGTTTTGAAGTCGTGCAATTCGAGGAATAAAACACTAGAGATGATGTTGAAGGGCGGCAGTTGCACAGGAAAAGGATGGATTTCTCCCGATCTAACTATGAACCAAACGGAGGAACATCTAGAGCAGTTGTCGATGCCACAGGCCTCGAAAGATCATAGTGAGAACAAAGGAATATCCATTTGATCCCTCGAAAGATCATAGTGAGAACAAGGTGAAGCCTTGTTCCAGGGCATATTTCCATGACTAGACAAAGTGTCCATTTGTCCACCCAGGGGAGAATGCTAAACGCCGTGACCCAATGAAGTATAACTATAGTTGTGTTCCATGCCTTGAATTCCGGAAGGGGACGTTCCGGCAGGGGGATGCTTCTGAATATGCGCATGGTGTATTTGAATGCTGGCTTCACCCAGCATAGTATAGGACCTGTCTCCGCAAGGATGAGACCAGATGCACATGAAGAGTTTGTTTCTTTGCACACAAGCCTGAAGAGCTACGCCCTTTATATGCCTTAACTAGCTCAGCTGTTCCATCCCCTAGATCATCTTCTGCCAACATTTCTTCACTTGACATGGCGCCAATGAGCCAAGTTGCCCTTGGCTCATCATCTCTGCTTATGCTCTCTACATCTACACCACCCATGTCGCCCTTTGTGGCCTAATATTCTCCTATGGGGGGAGCTTTGTGGCAAAACCAGCTTGGCCTTGGCCCCTCCTACACTGCAGCTTCCAAGTAGCAGGTTGAAGACCACACTAAGTGCCAAGGATATGGATTTAGACATGGAATTGCTTGGGTTGGATCGTCATCACCAACAGCAGTTGATGGATGAGATCTTCAATCTCTCCACCTAGTTCAGTTGGACCTTGGCAACTGCTGCAGCCATTGCTGCCTCATATGGTAGTTGAACAGGGGGGTACAGTCAGCTTGGTGGGGTGAATCCTACTAACCTTGAGGATGTTTTTGGATCCGTTGATACATTAGTGCTGTCTCAATTACAGGGGCTCTCACTGAATGCTGCGACATCCCTATTGCAATCTCCGACTGGATTCCATATACGCGAAAGCATTAACCAGAAGCTCCTCCCCAGTTATTCAACAAGCTTCTCTTCCTATCCAGTGAGGACATCAACATTGTTTTGAACTTGATCCCTCTGGTTCAGCGGTTGCAGCAGTAATTAATTTGAGGTCAACTGTCTTCTCAAAGCGGAGTCAGAGCTTCATTGACCGTAGTCCAGTGAATCGCCTCTTTGGTCTTCCTTCTATTGCTACCTCTGTTACTGTGACTTCTTCTACTATCTCTCTCTCCGTTTGCAAGGAATGGAAAAGAGAGGAAATCGAGAAGAAGAAATGGGAGGAGAGAAAGGGGAAGGGGAAGAAGAGAGATCGGGGGAGAGAGAGAGAGGGGGGGAGGATTTAGGGAGTCCACCACTGCTGCTGTTCGTGTATCGTGAGGTCAAGGAAAATTAAAAGTGTTATTCTCCGAATAGTTATTACAAGGGTAGTATGGGGATTAAAAAATATTGCAACGACGGATTTCAACGAAAGACTAATAAATGTCTCACAGTCACAGTACAGGGAGGTCTTTGTCGCAAAACAAAGTACAAGGGGGTTGTTGTCACAGACCCAGGGGGTCTTTATAATTTACCATTATTATTATTATTGTTGTTGTTGTTGTATGTATGTATGTAGCTATTTGAGCTCGATTAAAACCGAGCTGAGCCAAACTTTTTATGAGCCAAGCTCGAATAGTTAGTAAAGAGCTTGGCTTGTGGCCACCCCTAGTTGACACTATAGGTGGTTGTATATCTTCCATGAGGTGTGAAAATACAAATGAGATGGTCCTTAAGCAAGTTTGCATGGAGAGCGAGATCTTTGAATAATTTTTTTTTTTTTTGTGGGAATAGCTGTAGATTCATCAAACATAGAATCAACGATTTCATGGCACCGACCCATTGAAGTATGATTGGTCAACTCCACTACCCTAGCTCATAGGCCTCTACAATGGTTGTATTCAAGGGTGGAGCCAGAATTTTTTTTTTGTGAGGAGGTCAAAACCTGAAGTGAAATGGGGGAGGGGGCAATAAATATGGATAGACCCATAGGGGAGGCCAACCATTGAGGTGGAGAGTTTGGGATGGGGGAAATTTACATGGAAAGCTTTATTTCCAAATGAAGAATTCTGGACCATAGGGAAAGCCTGATTGTATTATTACAGGACAAGCACCATAAGTAACCAAGGGTCATGGATTGTATCACCAATAATCCATCTGCAACCTTTCCTTACGCGTCAATAATACTTGAGAATGCCCTTTCAAATATAAGAAGCTCCATTATTAGCCTTTATATGCTAAAAACTTAAGCTGAAGCATAATTTAATTTGTAAGAAAATATTTGGACCATGATACATGCATCTTGTTCACTTAGGAATATTTGCATGCCAATCCAATTTAGTGATCAATTAAAGCTTCATTTTTAAAAAAGTTTGCATGATATATTGAGGTATGGGTTGCAGTATAGATTTAACAAGCATAGTTCTTCTAGCATGACACCGAGTATTTTTCTTCCAACCAGACAGCTTGGATTTTAACAGCTCAACAAGTAATGTCACGCACTAAAGTTTTGGATTTACCATGGGCTCTACCCAAATATCTATGAGTAAGCAATTCGAGGAATATTGGCGCAGAAGTAAATAGAGGATTTAATGAATATTACAAGAAAAATAGCCTGAACCGTCGGTCTTTGTGACCGCCGCTATAGGGCTATCTGAGGCATTTTAAGAACTGACGCGGCGGTTATATTAATATACGTGTGGCGGTCTATATTGTGAACCGGAATTAAACCGGTCTACCTTACAACGGACCGGTGTGGAGACTCCCGCGCGAATTCTTCTTCCTGTTCGACAAGACACAGAGAACCTTGCAGAAAAATATTGAAGAAGACAAGTTATTCTCCACGAGCAAGAGAAATTTTGAAGAATACAAGTTATTCTTCACGAGCAAGAGAAATTTTGAAGAATACAAGTTAGGAAGAAAATCTAGGGTTGTGCGATTTTCTGGGCGATTTAGAACTAGGGTTGTGCGATTTTCTGGGCGATTTAGAGCTAGGGTTGTGCGATTTTCTTGGCGACCTCTGTTCGTTCGAGCAAGAGAAGAGAAGATAAGAGAAGGTAACGTTCTGGGTGACCTCTGTTCTTTCGAGCTAGGGTTTCCCTTTGTGCTTGAGAACGGGGAAATCTTTGGCCGCTATCCAAGCAAGCATCGACCTCTGTTCGTTCGAGCAAGAGAAGGGAAGGTAACGTTCTAATCCTTCTTTTAATAGTTTTGACTATTATGCTCACTTTGTTTTCCTTGATTGTAATCACAACCACTGGTTGTATATGCTTTCATCTTTGAATGAATGGAATCATTTTTTCCTTGATGGTAAAAAAGTCAAATTTTTGGAAATCTTTTTTTTTTTTCCTACAAGAAGATGACTTCCCTACAAGAAGATGATAAAAAAGTCATTTTTATCATTGTTTTTGTTTTATTTATTTATTTATTGTAAAGAGATTGCTATTTTCTTAGTTTTAGGTGTACATCCCAGTTGTACAATGCTTCAGCTTACAAGACTTTTGTATTTCCATTTAGTTTTCTCAATCAATTCATTACACTGACCTGAATTTCTCAATCAACTCATTACCTGGGAGATCTTCACCTCCATAGCTGGATTACATGTATATTAGAGTATACATTCATAGTCTGCAAAGCATATATTTTGTGGGCTTTATTCATAATCCAGTTTTTCTTACGCACTAGTAGTAGTGACCTACAGTTTCTCACTTTTGATGGCGTTTGCAGCTGTTGCAAGAATCTCCTTGAACATAAAAGATCCTGATAAACCATGATAAAACCCTAAAAGTTGGTTATTCTTTGGAAATAATGGATCAGTTATTGAATATGTCCTGTGTCCTACCAGTGAAGAAATTTTGGCAAAAATAAGCTTCAAATGTGTCCAGTAGGAAGTACTTTTAATGTGTACTTTTTCGATGTTGGTAAAGAGCTGAGTTCTAAACAGATCTTACAAAGAGAGTGAATTCAATCAAGTAGTTAACACTCTAACTGTTTATACCAAATTTCTGCCTTTCATTGAGAATATTTCTGTTTAGTATCTTGTGGGTACGTGTGAGTAGAAGGGTAGGTATCATTGTGGGTAGCATATTTGAGCACAAAAGAAAGGTAACCAGTGTTATCTATTGCTAACAAATCTTCAGCTCCACTTTTGAACTGAAAAGGAATCCATAAGAAGAAATGGCATGGTATATATATGCCCTAGTCCATGTCATTCTGTTCTCATTCATGTATTTCCTAGGGTGAATGACCAATCAGCCCAGATCAGAATTTTCTAGCCCCAAAGTACAGGGAGAATGCATCCTGACCGTGAATTGATGCCAAATTCACGGGCAGGATGTGATTTATAGGGGGGAGAGGGCTAGTAGTAGGGGGGGGCTGGAATTCAGAATTCTGCATCGTGTGTTTTTGTACTTCTCCGTATTTCCTACTGAAGCCAGTCATTTATGTTCCAATTGTTTGTCAGAAGATGCCCAACAGTGGATGGGTGTTCAATGTGGAGAGTCATCAACCCACCTGAAAGCATAAATTAAAAATGGAAAAGCTTCTGCAGAGGAGAATCACTCCAGATGCTTTTCTGTTGTTTGAAGATTCTGAGGGACCAAGAGGGAAGAGCAACACGAGCAGCATTTTAGCAACAGCCACTCCAATCTGCATGCCTTGAATAAACATAGCTGTAGTTACTGACTCAAATTAATAAAAGAAGAGAAATCAAAGATCAACCAGTCAGCCCAGGGTTGACATCATGTGTTATGTGAGTGAGGAGCCTGTATGACTGAACCAGGAAAAAGCAGACAATTCAATGTTCAAACCTATATCGCTGAGGTACCCTTTGATTGAACCAAGGTTCAAAGTATTGATACACCTGATATGTCGGTAGAGGCACATTGGAGTGTATCGATAGCTGTTTATTTTTTTAGTTTTTTTTTTTTTTTGTAAATCTGGTTTAGAGGGGTCGGTTTAAGGTCCATCCACCCCCTGAACCGGCTTAGACCCCAAAACACCCCCTGTAGGGGTGTATCAAGAAGCCCCCAAAACATTGAACCTTGGATTGAACCATCAGTATCAATTATTTTGTGGGCCCTCTGTATAAAACCTTAAGCCCAATTGTACATATGACATAAAATTTTGGATCTAATCAAAAGGGTAAATGTGTTTATGTCTGATATTCTGATTAGTTTCAACCTGAGTTCCAAAAAGCAAGCACCCATTCCACCCACAAAAAAAAGGAAAATATAAAATAAAAAAAGTGGGCTAGTAGAGTAGGTGTAATTGGTGGGTCAGTTGTCCTCGTCAATGATGCCACTTGAAAAATCCAATCTTACAATCAATCTTAGGAGTCCTCATTTAGCTGTATAGAAGGTATAGAATTGCAAACAATTGATCCAATTGTTGCTATGGCTTGAACAAAATTTTAGAAATTCTGAGAACAAATCGTTTGGTTGGAATCATGCCAACAAGTCATCCACGAGAAATTGCACTTCTTTCTTATCTTAGCCCTCGTGGCATAGAAACCCACTAACCTGCATTTGTGCCGTACAAAATGGGTTATGAATGTAGGCCCCACTATAAACTACTAACACCAATTGATATACCACATCAAGGGGCACAATCACTCCCAGAACCACAACTAGATCTGGTACATCTTTAGCTGTTTACATCAGTTCCCTCACTTCAAAGTCATATTGTACCCCTCCATATCCACCCCCAAAAGAAAACCACAATATAAAACAATAATAATAATTATGCAATTATTTTTAAAAAATTCTACTTTCGCCTAAAATGTGTTTAATTTCTGTTGTTCTCAATTGATCTTCATGTTCCCTCTTTACAATCTAAAGAAACGCCAACAGATCAATGATTTGTGGGAAGTTGTTTGTGCTTGCATCATGTGGGAAGTTGTTTGTGCTTGCATCAATATTTATGACATGATTCAAAGGAAAAGAAGTGATCAGTTATGCATGTCACCATATGTTTGTGTGATGTGTATGAAGGATGGAGAGTCTATTGGCTATCTTCTCATTAATCACCTGGCAGCTTGTAGTCTATGGTGTTTTTTTTTTTGACATGATCCATGGCTATGGCTTCCACTGCATTCCTCTAATAACGTAGTTGATTAGCCTGACTTCATTATTTGATGGCCCATGTGCAAGTTGGCATCTGGGGCAGAATCTACTGAAGAGCTATTGCTCATGCTGTTATTGGTGCTTATGGGAGGAATGCAACAGAAGCATATTTGACAAAGCTACCTCATGGGAATGGTTAGGAAAAGAACACTGAATCTATTTAATTCTTGGATGCTCACCTGTAAACAGTTTAGAGGGAGATCTGAGCATCTCTAGTAGGGATATGGATAGGATTTTTTTTAACATCCTTCAATCATTTAGGTTAGACCCTCAGCTCCACCCAAAGCCAATTCCTAGGCCAAAGTGCGAGTTTATCATGAAATTTGATAGTAGCTGCAGGGGTATTTCTGATCTCAATGTTTGGCATGGATTGGTGGCCTTATCATTCTGTTGGTATTGTCCTGTGGGCTTAGAGCAGAGCCATTGGTGCTGTGGATGCTACTGAAACCGAAGTCAGAGCTCCTTGTGGGGTTAAGGGTGGCTAAATCCATCCAAATCACCCCCATTGTTGTGGGGGTGACTCTAGAGTTGCAATTGGTTGGGCCTCTAATCAGGAGGTGGGGCCTTGGAGATTAGCACATTTGCTAAATTAAATCTGAGATCTTTCAGCTTATCTTTCTTGCTCCTTCAGATGGGTCCCAAGGGATTCAAATGTTATGGCTGATTCTTTAGCTAAATCAGGGGTGGATAGGGCTATTTGTATGGTGCTAACACTTTGCCATTGTAATTTCTGTTTCTGGCTCTTCTTGGCCCTTTTGTACATCCTCTTATGTACATGCCCTCTCCCCCCTCCTCTCTTAATGAAACTTATCTTTTCTCAGAAAAAAAAAAACCAAAAAACAAAACCCAATGTGTAGGAATGGCAATGGGGCAGGGATCATATTCCCCGTCCCTGACTCTGACTTTTAAATTAATCCCCATTGAGGAATGGCAATGGGGCAGGGATCATATTCCCCAGATTAAGATACATGTGAAGTCCTCTGATTGGATAAATTATACTTCGTTAATAAATTAATGAATCTAGGGATACAAATCAACTGAATCGATTCCAAACTGGGGTATATCAAATATGATAAATAATTTATCATGATCCGATTTGATATCTAATCCTATTTGGTTGAATTCGAATCAACCCCCTCAATAAGATCCGACCAGAAAATCGGATCGGGATCGGATCACCCATATCCAATTCAAGAAGATCCGATATATTTATAATATATATGTTATTTATTTATAAATATATTTTTATAAATTTGTTATATTATTTACTTTTTTTATAGAAACATGTATATACATGATGAAAATAATAAAATACTTGTATTTTTTTCGTTTTTTTACTTTATTTAAATTTGAATATTTTATTTTTCTTTGAATAATTTATTATTTTTTAAAGAAAATAAGTCGGATCGGATCATATCTGATGATCCGACTTACCGATAGGATTTGAATTCAAATCGAGTCCTATCAAATCCAATCGGATTGGATCTGACATAAACAGATCAGATTTGAATATACCCTGGTTCGAATTCAATACAATTCGATTGCATCCCTAGAATTTGAGAGGCTGGAATTGGATATTAAATTGTTCACATATCCGGACATCTACTTGAACCTGATTTTTTACAAATAGAAAAGTATGTTTATCTAAATCCCAAATTCCACCTGAGTTTTTGTTACTTACTTTAACAAAGCTTTCAGCCCTTCCCACCGGAATATCCTGTTCACAAGGCAGCATTTGCCGAAAGCCTTCCAAAACTACACACAAGTAAATTCAGGTCGGTCTTTCCTTTCTGCCTTCAATTTCCCCAGTTAATTTCCTTGAAACTCGTTAATATTACCTCCGAATAATGTTCTTTAGAATGAATAAATTTCATATCATTCACGAGAATTCTCAAAGTGGGATTGAACCTGTTAATTGCAGTGCTCTTGAATAAATGACGGAGGTCTTTCTCTCCATCATCATCATGTTCTTGTTCTTCTTCATATTACATCCTAATATTTTACTTTTTTTGTTTATTTTTTTTGATTGTTAACTTTTTCTTTTTTTTTTGTTGGTCTA